CAACCTTTGTTGTTGGAAGGAGCGTCGCTGATTGTAAACCCACTACGGGCGGTAAGGTAATAATCCCCTTGACCCTTACACAAACAGAAGCAAGACAAGAAGAGAGTCTTGGTTGGTTTGATCTCGGCTCCCTTACACTCCCCGAGAAATGCCACCAAATAACGCAAAGAGTTCGGCGCCATTTGGGATGGCGATATGCCCCACTTACGGAGACATTCCTCGATAACGGGATGCAGCGGGAACCGCAGCCCCGCTTCGAGGGCCCCTACGGTCAACCCGAACCCGTCGGGAACCTAATCATATGGTCGTTAGCCGGGCTGAGGGGCTTAAACCTTATAGCACTCCGGGATACGGTAACGATCCCAAAGCACCCCCCAAAGACCCTCGGTCACCACCAAGTCCACGTCATGCCACGATTTGAGGCTTTCAAGTGCAGAAGAACTCCCTGCGGCCCCCGAGCGGGCACCGTCAGAGAACACATTGACGACCTCGGCCCGGAGTCCCCCAGAGGAATAAGTAAAAAACAAAGATGCAGAAGAAGAAGACGAAGGAGAGGATGGAGACATCCCAACCTCGGGGCTGAAAGGACGGAGCCAGGCGTAGGACGAAGGACTTAGCAAAAGTAGCGACGATTGCTTCAGGAGAAGCATATAATAGGCAGGCTGCCCTGCTGCCAGGGCGACGGTTACGCTCTCCGAGGAGAACGATGGACGTCGCATTTAAAACCTGTTGTGACTCCTCGAATACACCAGATTCGCCGCCCTCGAGAATCTCGCCAAAGGCGCCTCGTCACCAGAAATCTCTTGCCAGAAATCATTCAGCTTCCCGCCTGGTCCTGCGCCTCATCGGGCCCGACCGCCACGTGGCGCATGGTTTTGGGCGAAATTCGACGCGTCGCTCGGCAAGGCCCCCGGCACACAGGTCCAACCGGCCCGAGCCGCTCCAGATCGGTTCCCGACTTGCAGCTCGTCGGCCCAACTCCTGCCCGGGTCGCTCCAGATCGGCTCCCGACTTATGACCCGCCGACACAGCTCCGACCCGAACCACTCTAGATCGGCTCCCGACTTGCGACCCGTCGGCACAGTTCTTGCACAAGCCGCTCCAGATTGGTTCCCGACTTGTGACCCACTGGCACAGCTCTTGCACGAGCCGCTCCAGATCGGTTCCCGACTTGTGGGTCGTCGGCCCAACTCCTG